TGGACTTAAAGAGGGAATATCATGTTAGAAGCCCATAATTCCAGGTATTCTTTCCATCCAGGTTCCCCAAAGATGTATCATGGCATTAAGGATATTAATTGGTGGAGCAACACGAAAAAGAACGTTGCAGACTTTGTGGCCTAGTGTCCGAATTATCAGATAAGTGAAAGTCGAGCAGCAGAAAGCCTAGTGTTTTATCACATACCTCTCATTGACCTTGCTAATAATAACCTACCATTCTAGTATCAAGATGGCACCGTACGAAGCTATGTATGGGTGAAGGTGTAGATCACCAATTGGTTGGTTCGAAGTTGGAGAAGTGGAGTTGTTAGGACCCGATTTGGTCTATCAGACTATAGAGAAAGTTAAGTTGATTCAAGAGCGTTTGAAGAAAACTCAGAGCCACCAAAATGTCCTATTCGAGCGTGCAACATAGAGACCTAGAGTTTCAAGTTGATGATTAGGTATTTCTGAAAGTTTCGCTTATGAAAAGCGTTATGAGATTTGGGAAGAAGGGAAAGCATAGTCCCTACTATATTGGGCCATATAGAATCTTGCGAAGGATCGGTCAATTAGCTTATGAGTTGGAGTTGCCACCAGAATTAGTGGTGGTACAACCAGTATTTCACGTGTCATGTTATAACATTCAAGTTTCCGGCACTCAGATACTCATGTCAGTTCAGTACTCAGATACTCATGTCAGTTCAGTACTCAAATACTCATGTCAGTTCAGTACTCAGATACTCATGTCAGTTCAGTACTCCGATACTTATGTCAGCTCAATACTCAGCTACTCATGTTAGTCCAATACTTAGACATTCATGCCAGCTTAGTACTCAGACTACTCAAATATTCGTGCCAGTTCAATATTCATATATCCATGTTAGTTCAATATTCACGTATCCATGGCAGACCAATATTCAGTCAATGCAGTAGTCATTCAGTTCAGTATCGTAATAGTTCAGTAATCATGTATTCATTCAGTTTAGTATATAAGTGTTAATGAAAGTTCATGTTTGCACCAGACTCATTTAAGGTCCGGAGTTAGTAGAAGTTACAGTCAAGACAATCATTCGAGGACGAATGATCCCAAGGGGGAGATAATGTAACACCCCGTAAATTCGGCTTAGGTGTGAATGTGTTAAATGAGTGGTAAGGTTATATTTTGAACATGTGAAGTCCCATCGGGATGATTATGGGTAAAATAGTTGTTTCAAAATCAAGATGGAAAGAGAGGTGCATAAGATTTGACAAAATCGACTAAGTTTGCAGAAGGTCTATCTTCCATCAAGTTTTAGTGAAAATGTGTAAGGAACTGGGGAAAACGCAAAGCATGAAAGTTGTAGGCCTTTGAAATAGCTTCCAACGATATATTATGGATCCCGAACGGATCTCTGTGCAAAAAGTTATGTGCATTTTACGGAACAGTACGCGTATGCGCGCCCGGTAGCGCGCCCATTAGCGCGACTGCACTAATTTTGAGGCAGTGTTACTGCCGTTTAGCGTGGTCAGTAGCGCGAGCAAGCCTCCAGGTGCGCGAGCGCGCTAGTGGGGGGTCGTTTTAAAGCTATATTTCGTCCCCCACAACCCCAAAACATAAAAACTTGCTCTACAAAGGAGAACTCTCAAAAACCTAACTCCTTAAGGCTCCTTCCACCACCCAAGGTAAGTTTTAATGGTGATTCTAAGTTAATTTCAATTTTCTAACATCTTATTAACATGGGTAAGCCCTCCATATCATTAGATATTCGATTGGGACATCATTGTTGAGAGAAGGAAGCCTATAACTCGAAATTCAAGGGTTTGAACTTCAAAAAGGTAATGTCTTCACCCTTTAATTGATTATAGCATTGGTTTAATGATTTTAAACCCTAGTTCATGAGATATGAGTTGATGGGTTTGATAGAATAGCATGAACAATTATAGGTTTGGCTTGTTGATTGTGGATTATTGGTTAAGGGTGTTGTTTATCTTATGGGTGAAGAAGAATGACATTTATTATAACCGTTTGAGACTTTAGAATTTATCTAGGATCAAGAGAATGGCTTGTTGGGTGTAGAAATACCATTAATAAGGACCATGAAGCTTTATGTCACCAAGTGTTTGAGAAAATATTTAAGTGACTAAAACATGAGAATTTATGCTAATATGGAATCCCTTTGACTTGTATTGATATATATTAAAGTTAAAAAGGTTGGCGAACGTTGTATTACGCTCAAGAGCAGGAAGTTAAGGTATGTGAGGCTAACTCTCTATGTTTGGGAATTTTAATGATTCTCCCTACACTACATTCTTTTACGACGTTACCAATTGCCTCAGAAATATAGTTAAGCCTAGTTCCTTGAATAGTTGTAGAACTTATATTCTCTAGCTTCATAACTCGCCCATGACTTTCATTCTGAACGTTGTGAGCTCAGTGCGTATTAAATATATACTTGGGTTTGATGCCCCCGAGTCTTAGTATAGATTACTCAGTATGCCATATACAGTTTAAATTTCAGTATTCACAATCAGTTCAAGAATACATATCTCAGTCTAGTCCCATTCAATATGTCAGTATTATGTAACCCAGTATGATCTAGTATTCCAGTATCATGTAACTCAATGTGATTCAGTATTTCACTATCATGTATTGTAGTATGATTCTCAGTGTATGATTTTAAACTCCTGAATGTTGAACACCTGTATTTGGGCTTGAGACCGTAGTTTATATGCTTTATGCATGTTTGGGCCTGAGGCCGTAGTTTATGCTTTATGCTTGTTTGGGCCTGAGGCCGTAGTTTATGCTTTATGCATGTTTGGGCCTGAGGCCGTAGTTTATGCTTTATGCATTTTTGGGCCTGAGGCCGTAGCTTGTGCACATATATATTGGGCCCGAGGCCGTAGCTTATTCAGATAAACAGGTTGTTCATCATTCAAAAGAGGGAGTATTCATATCCTTACTTCCTTTATTCAGTTCAGTTATCAGTTATCAGTTATCTTTTGAGTTATTCAGTTCAGTTATCAGTTATCAGTTATCTTTTCAGTTATCAGTTCAGTTATCAGTTATCAGTTATTAGTTCAGTTATCAGTTATCAGTTATCTTTTCAGTTATCAGCTTAGTTTCAGTTCCAGCATTTATAATTCTTTCTTTCAGTTACTTTACATACCAGTACAATTCAAATGTACTGACGTCTCTTTTGCCCGGGGCCTGCATCTCACAATGCAGGTAATGATTTACAGGTTGATGATTCAGAGCGCTAGGATTCTCGTACCTGCTATTTGGTGATCCCCAGTTTTTTCGGGGCATTATCATTACTTTACAGCCTTTCAGTATTTATAGATAGTCAGTGTTTTCAGTATTTCATTAGAGGCTTCATAGACTAGAGTAACAGTTAGACAGTGTCTCAGGCTTTTCATGTTAAGCTATGTTGGCTACAAATATTTTTCAAAATTGTATTAGTATTTCCGCACTTTGATTTATATCATCCAGACTTTCAGTATATCAGCATGTGTTAGTTTATCTTCTGCATTCAGTATGTTATGATACCACATGTTGATTCAGCCAGCCAGTTGGTTCGCTCAAGTCACATGTAGTCAGGCACCGAGTGCCGTGTTACGTCCAGGCCCAGGTTCGGGGCGTGACAGGTTTTCCTTTCCACCAGAAAAATGATTCCTTTATTTCCTATTATTTAGGCACAACAGGGACCACAAAATTTAATTAACAAGGCTTCCAATTATGAAATTAATTTATAATTTTTGAAAATTAATATCCACCATAATTAATTACGAATTATTCCACTAAAAATTCGTAATTGCACTTCTTATTCAATTTCGAAATTCATCCATTAAATCTTATTTAACTCCCCATGTTAAGATTCAGATACTAATCAATTAAATTAAATTACTGACGATTTAATTTATTGATTTTTTCCTTCACACTTTCGCTTAACTTATTTCATGTGTCGGATACAAAATTCACCAGCCGGGTTTTGCACATGAAAACTTATAAGCTTTCATAAAGGTGTATCATCAATCTCTAAATCGAGACATGGATTCCATCAACTAACTATTACTTCGCCAATGTATATTATTATTATCCAATTTACCAGGCATATTGACCCACGAAAGAATCTCGCCTTTTAATAAATCAAAACAATAATAATGTAAACAGCTAATGATAATTATATCAAGATTAAGAGTATAAGTACATTTAATGGCTAGAGAGTTTATTTTATTAAGTTAGTATAAGCTACTTATCTCTACTTGGTCCGTTCAATACATACAAAATGTAATAGCACAAGAAGTTGGAATTAAACCATTCCAATAATTAAGATAAATTATATTTAATCTTATGCTACAATCATTCCTGATGGTTTGTTCAATTCCATCATTAGATTGTGAACTCACACTTTATACTTATAAGAACCGATAAGTTAATCTTCCGTATATAAGCTAAACTCTGTACACTAAATCATCTACTATATAAGCAAATGACACAAACTAATATATGATCTATTTAAAATTTTATTAAAATTGAATGAACAATTAGATCATAATAAATACTATATCTAAACCAAATCCATAGTTAGTACTCCCTCCGTTTCAATTTATGTGAACCTGTTTGACTGGGCACGGAGTTTAAGAAAATAATGAAGACTTTTGGAATTTGTGGTCCTAAACAAGTCCAAATGGGGCCAGAGTATTTGTGTGGTTATAAAAGCTTCTCATTAAGGGTAAAGTTGTAAGTTTAAGCTAAATTGTTACCAAAGAGTTCATTCTTTGGAACGGACAAAAAAAGGAAATAGGTTCACATAAACTGAAACGGAGGGAGTAGTATATATCCCAACAATGAAAGTAGTACATGAACTGATGAAAGCAAAGAATCTAATTAAAAATCCCAAAAATAATAAATAAATATTACTACAATTTCTAAAAGTGTAATTTTCTCGAAATCAAGGGCCAAGAGTAGAGAGAATAAATTAAGGTCTAGTCACACTCACACACAAGCGTGATACCAGAGGCCACAAAGAGGGCTTGCTTTTGTTGGCTCGACGAGTGAGCTGATCTTTGCTGCTTACAACTGTGTATAAATAGCTAGCCCCCCTCTCCCTTCCTTTTCTCCTTTTTCTCTGTAAACCCTCATAGAGCTTCAGCCCCCCCATTTATTATTCTCTTTTTCTTTTTGAATCTGAAGGGAAAAGAGAACAGAAAAAAGAATGGGAGAGAAGCCAAAATCTGGAGGTGTTTGGCCCACTGTTAAGCCCTTTGTTAATGGAGGTGCTTCTGGTATGCTTGCCACCTGTGTTATTCAGCCCATCGATATGATCAAGGTATTGCCCCTTGAACCCACTTGCTTTTTTTAAATTGGTTATTACTGTTCTTGTTTGTAAAGATCCTGCCTTTTTGATGTTTTAGGGCGTTGTTTTGTTTTTAAGATGTGTTTGGTTAGTGGGTCAGGTTCAGATCTTGGCTCAAATGATTGTCATTTTGGGGTTTTTTTTCCTTTTTGTTTTGTATGTGATGTTTGGTTTTGATCTTATGGTGTATTTGGTGAATTCAGATCTTAGATCAAATGGGGATTATGCTACAATGTCTCATTTTACTTTTTCCAATTTAGAGTTGTTTTTGTAGTGAATGAACAAGATCTAGCCTTAAAAAGATTTGATCTTTACACTAGGAATTTCTTCCCATCTACCTAACCCTTGCTTTCAGAGTTATCCCGTACCTATGTAATCAGAGGCGGAGCCATGATTTGAAGTTTATGGGTTCGGTATTTTATTAAGTTAATAGGTTTTAAATTTTCTTAAGACAAATGTATGATTTATACCAAAGCTACTCAGTTCGACCGAACCCGTAGCCGAAAGGCTAGCTCCGCCTCTACCTATGTTGGTGCTTGTGGGAGGTAGCAGGTACCCGATGGTATAGTCTAGTTGCGCGCAAGCTGGCACGGACACCACCATTATAACAAAAACTGAATCTTTGGTTTTTTTATTCAATGCGAGATAAAGTTTGAATCTTGCAGTTTGTAATACTACTACTTAAATTTGATGGGATCTATTCTGATTTATGGTACTTTTTTATGATGGCAGGTGAGGATACAATTGGGTCAGGGATCAGCAGTTGATGTCACCAAGACCATGCTTAAAAATGAAGGCTTTGGTGCCTTTTACAAGGTTTGTTCCCCTGAGATTTATATTGGTTAACTCTGTCCTTGATTAATAATGTTGCACCATTTACTTTTTGATCTCTGACTGAATAATTCATTATTTTATCTTAGATCACAAGAAACAGATAGGTATTTTAATTCCCCACTAATAATGAGTATACCTGCTCTTTTAAACTTGGTGCTGAATGGGTTTGTAGTCCTTATATTATAGTATTCTCAAGAGACGACTGATAAATATTCCTAATGTTTCACCTTGGTTATGGCGTTATGCCTTACCGAATTAGCTACTTTTCTGGAGCTTATGGTATTTTAGCATTACCTTTTACTACCTCATATGATCTTGAAAGTTTAAATGCCTGAAAGGAACAATTTCTGAATTTTTTTTGTCAATCGATAGTACACCTGGAACATATCAGCAAGAGAACTAGATGCTGCTTTTCTCTAGAAATGAGCTGCTGAAAGTCTTTCTGTATTTAATACAAATGTTTTACGTCTTTCAATACCCATCTTTGGCGTAATGCGTAAGAGATACTCTGATTCCATTCAAACTTTTAATTGGTGAATGCTACAAGTGTAACATATCATGGATTAGACAGGTGCCGAGTAACATAAATTGGATTATATAAGGTGACTCCCAAATGCATTAACTTATCTGTTGTGGAACAGCTGATGGCCTGATGCACTTGTTTTATTTAATGCATAATTTTCTCTAACTTTTTTGTATTGTATGGTTTTTTGTGATTCCATGCCATCAATTATTTTATCGTCATATGCAGGGTTTGTCAGCTGGGCTTCTTAGGCAGGCAACCTATACAACAGCCAGGCTTGGGTCATTCAGGTGACTATTTGTCTAAATTTTGTCTTTTCTCCATTCATAATGTGCCGGATTTATTTAAGTTTTTAAGTACTTTTGATACTATTGATATACATCAAGGTTCATAATACTTCACAACCCTTAGGATTGCCTTCTATTGTTCTTTGATGCATCTAGGCTCATAGTTGTGACACATAATTGATCATACCCTCCCAATAGTATGTCTTATACATTACATACGAGTGCGTAATAAATTGGAGGTTTTCAAAGGATTTACTCTGGACACCACCATTATTCTGCGTGATACTTTTTGAGTCACACCTTCCTTCTCAGGTCTTTTTTCATTTTGCTTTTTTGAATCAAAGATACAGTCTGAACGAAGCATATTGAGGTGCTGTGCACATCTTACTGGAATTTCCGTTTAAAGAAGTTACTCTTTGGATATGTCAAGTGTCAATATAGGAATAAATTAATGAACAATGTGATCTTATTGATTTTCTGCAAGTCTTGCTTTTCATTTTTTTTTTTAAGATCTTGGGATTACGACGCTTCATTTTATCCTCTCCCCCTTCCCTCCACTTGGCTGCTAATTTTCTTGAAAGTTTTGTGGTTTGGTCTTATTTTGTAATTTTTTTGAGGTGGTTGTGCTTATTGGGTTTGCTCTGTTGTGCTTTTCTGGTGATTCTTGTTGCAAGGTCTGTGATATCACTGTTGGACCTCCATAGAGATGCAGGGTTTTGCAAAATTTTTATGTGTTTATAGAAATATTGAGCTAACACACCTTTTGAAAGAATTGGTGTCATAAAACTCAGCAGGTAGAAGAATAAGTGACACGTACAATTTTAGATAATACAGAGGCTTAATAACCTACTTCACCAAGCATGTTTGGAATGTCGATTCTAGTTACTTGCGTAATAAAATTAAGCTCAAATTTTTCTTTGGAGCAAAGAGGACCTAGCTAAAAGCACTATATTATTGGTGATATTGAGGATGATTTTATACAATAGCCCAACTTATTGCTGTTATGCTTTTTGCTTGATAAGATTCTTGCCTATATTCATCCAATAAAAGAAAAAACGACTTACTTTTCTGCCTTTCTTCTGGTTTTCTTGAAATAGAATTTTGACGAACAAGGCCATTGAGGCCAATGAAGGGAAGCCCTTGCCTCTGTACCAAAAGGCTTTATGTGGTCTTACTGCTGGAGCAATTGGTGCATGTTTTGGTAGTCCAGCAGATTTAGCCCTCATTCGTATGCAAGCTGATGCTACCTTGCCTTTAGCACAGAGACGCCATTACACAAATGCATTTCATGCACTCTCCCGTATTGTGGCTGATGAAGGAGTTCTAGCCCTCTGGAAAGGTGCTGGCCCCACAGTAGTAAGGGCAATGGCATTGAACATGGGAATGCTTGCCTCTTATGACCAGAGTGTGGAGTTCTGTAGGGACAACCTTGGCATGAGTGAGGCTGCTACAGTAGTAGGTAAGAGAAGTTCTCTTTTAATGCTTCTAAGGGTCCTGATTTTAGTCTCAAGTGCTCTGAGTTTCTTTAATGCCTTCGCTCAAGAAGCGTTTAAGCTCATTTTGTAATTTCAAGAGGGATCAAATAATGAATCTTGTCTTATAATAAAATCAGTAAACTTCTCTTTAGGGAATTTCACCCATCTTTTGCATATCCTGGTTAATCATTTTAGTTACTATCTGCTAGAAAATGCAGCATCTTTGGGCCTGGTTCCTTTCTTTGGTGCAATTGGTGCATTATGGCAAAAAACTGCTTGCTGAGAAATGCTTGATGTTAATCTCTACTTTGCTTCCTGCCTTTCTGCATTCAAGCTACTTGGTAGATTGAGGGAATTTGGGACTCTGGTAAAGCTGGTCAGTGTAACTATTAGATGGTATAAGCTATGCCTTTGAGGTGTCGCCAGTGAGTAGGGCAGGTCATTCTTCTGCTCCGGCTCTAGAATGTTCTCTAGGAAGTCATTTCTGCTGTGGCATTCAATAACATGGAAATAGTGCTTTGCAAAGTTTGTCTGGGATATTGTGTGTTCGAGTACATTTTTTTCTCTCGCTCTTCACATTGACTGTCTTGAACGTTAGTGTTCTCATTGGATGATGCAAAATTCAGTATCTCCCATGAGGCGCAGCGTTTCCCCTTCTTACAGATAGTACCTTTCTCTTTCCTAAAACACAGGAGCCAGCAGTGTTTCTGGATTCTTTGCTGCTGCTTGCAGTTTGCCATTTGATTATGTCAAGACTCAGATACAGAAAATGCAGCCAGATGCTGAAGGAAAGTTGCCTTACTCTGGTTCTTTCGATTGTGCCATGAAAACTTTGAAGGCAGGAGGACCCTTCAAATTTTACACCGGATTCCCAGTATATTGTGTTAGGATTGCCCCTCATGTTATGGTATGTTTCCCTATGTTTTTCCCAACTTCTGTTCTCCCAGATTTACGTCAGCTTTTACTAAATGTTTGCTTCATTCTTTTCCCTATGCAGATGACTTGGATTTTCCTTAACCAAATTCAGAAGGCAGAGAAGAAAATTGGATTGTGATTTGCTGCTAAACAATACATCCGCTCAAGTTGAGCTCTATTAGAATAACATCTTTGCATTGTTGTATTGGTACTTCTTTATCTATTTCTTTAGTTGCGCACCTTCAAAGTGAAAGGGTGCTTGAAGATTTTTGTGGTGATACATTGACTCGTGAAATTTAGGTTAGACATTTGGTCTTTTTTGATATTCCTACCTATTTAGTTTTGGGAGGACTGCTTTATCCAAATGGATGGGAAGATTCTTTTAGCTGAATAAGCTATGTACTTCAACAACTTTCTTGAAGTAGGTTTTATGGAGTTTTACACCAGTTTCGGCTTGTCATCTTTAGCTTAATTTTGGTTACCTATATTTGGCTGTTCTTAAATGGTTAAGTTTTTTTTGTTAGTATCCTCCTGGAATGAGCTATTGAGTATTGGAGTGAAGATGGATCCAAATGTAGCAAGAACAGAAAAATAGAGATTCATGTAGTTGTTCTCAAGTAGTTTGAGATGTAGTTGTCTATAGGTGTATATGCCTTTAGACCATAAGTATAGGTGTTCATGCCCCTATTTATCACATTATATATACAAAATCATGCCTCAAGAACCTGATATGCATGCATTATTTATAGATCTGATTGTATGTATTAGTGTATAGGTAGGCCATACATAAATTTTTCAATTCCTATAGGATCTTGTATTGAAGTTTTCCTAGTTTCCAGACTGGGGGAGATGGTTTAGTAGCTTTTCTTGACATTGAAATTACTGGGTTGGGTTTGCATATTATTGTTTTCGATACAGAACCTGAAAATAAACTTATTTACCAAACAAAACTGCATACAACTTCACTGATTGACAAAAGTCTTTAGTCCCATATCAAGGTGCAATATTGCAAAAACTATTGAACTTGAGTGGAGGTGTAGAGTAGTTTGATGAGAGTATTTTAGAGGCAACAGCTGCATTAGCTGCTTCTGTATAATGAGCACCATCCCAGCTAATGTACTTGGATCTATTCTCACATATTGTGTAATTTCCTTGCCCACATTTGTTGTTTGATTCAAAGTTATATGGTGGCCCTCCATATCCACAACATGCCATCAATGGATTCACAAACCCTACCAAAATAGACCCAATCACTTCTTAGTATTTACACTGTCAACAACAATCCAGTAAAATCCCATAAGTGGGGTCTAGGGAGGGTAAAGTGCACGCAGACCTTACCTCTACCCCGGAGGGGTAGAGAGGCTGTTTCCAAAAGACCCTCGGCTCAAGAAGATGAAAATAAACAATAGACAATAGATCAGTGACAACAACAGAAGCCAGAAAAATAAAATTAATATCAGCATCGTAAGAAATAGAAAATAAATATAAAAGCAATAACAATACCCAGTAATAATGCCATTAGTGTGGAAGCTACATAAACCACTAACAACCCAAGGCGAAACATTATCAGCCTAGCCTAGCCCCGCCCCCGGAAACAACGTAGAAAAACGTTCGACTCCCTCCTAACCTACAACACTTGGTATTTACACTAAACTAAGCAATTTATCCTTGAAGATAGCGATACACATGCAAGAAATCGATAAATATTTATCCACACTCAATATTTACACTAAACTAAGCAATTTAACCTTTGAAGGTGAAAACGGTGAATGCTTCATCATATTTTCCGAAAAATGAAAGAAAGGAACACTTACCATAATTAGAAGAATTGGCAATGAGGTCATACTTGATGGAGTAGACATCAACATATACAATGGTGATATTCTTCAATTCATCTCTTAGTGTTTCACAGAGAAGGTATAATTTGTCATTGAATATTTTTGCACCTTCATTTAGAGATCTTAGGCAACCATGCTCATCATAATCATCCTTATACTTGTTATATGTTGTAAGTGATTTAGGCAAGCACCCTATTGGCCCTGTATTATGTACCCAAAAATTCTTTCCACCTTCTTCATAAATTTCCTACAATTCAATATAGAAATTCAACAAATCCAGAAAAAAGGACAAGCAAAAAGAGCAAAAGTATACAAATTTAGAAAGAAAAAAGAAAAAACTATAGAAAGAAGAAACATAAAAAGGAAGAGGACTATAAGTACAATAACAACAACGACCCAGTAAAATCCCATAAATGGGATCTGGGGAGGGTAGTGTGTATGCAGACCTTAGCCCTACTCCGAAAGAGTAGGGAGGCTGTTTCCGAAAGATTATCGGCAAAAAGGACGAGAAGAGGACTATAAGTATGGTTACCTTTATTGCATTTTCAATTTCATAAATGAAATCAGGAATTTTTAGGATAGCTTTTTCATATGAGAGACCACCAAATACTCCATCCAAATCATTTTGTCCAATATCAATTGTGTAGAGGGCATTCCTTAAATCTTCATCTCCTAGCAAATTTCCATTACCTAAAAGATAGAAAAAATAATATTCCTTTTTAAGAATTTGAGTAATAGTGAAAGTGATAAAAGTTGTTATCTTGCCTTCGAGCCTTTGATCACTAAGTTTTAAACCATACGCTAGTAACCCTCGAGATTTCTAGATTTTCTGATTATAAAAAAAATTGTCTTTAATTCCTTTTTTCCTTTCGGCTCGAAAATGTCAATATTTTTTAATAGGAGTGGTTGACTTTTTAGTATGGTTATAATTTAATATATACCTTTGTCAAATAACTCAAGAGAAAGAGAACGAAACCGATGGAACTGGGCAATTTGGATCTTCAAATTAAAAGAATCTGAGGCTGGAAGAGTTTTAGAACCAGCAATAGCAAAATTAACTCCGTTTGTAAAGTTTTTCCCCATTGACTCCATAAATGGAGTTAAATAACCATTTTTCACACTTTCGCCTGCAATGAATAAAATAAAATTAAACAAACAAATAAATAAATAAACAAAAAGATGAACATGAGCCTTGAAAATGGATGAATTAATGATATTTGTGCTTACTTAACAAAAAAAATAAAACAACAGTCAATAGCGAAGTCAGGAATTTTCTCAAAAGTGTTCAAACTTAAAAGAAGTAAAAACAAATGCAGTGTAAAAAATACTTTCGTATATAAAGAAATGTCATCGACACACTTCGTTAAAATCTTTTCAACATATATGTAAATGGTATCTTTAAGAAAAAAAAAACAAAAACAAATGTATATGCAAAGACGTATACCATAGAAAAAAACAACAACAACGACCCAGTGAAATCTCATTAGTGGAGTCTGGGGAGTAGTGTATGCAGACGACCTCTACCCCGAGGGAGTAGAGAAGCTGTTTCCGAAAGACTCTCAGCTCAAGAAGGCGAAAAGAGACAATATCAGTACCACCAACAGAAACCACAAGGAAAATAACATCATGAAAACCAGAAAATAGATGCAAAGCAAAAGCGATAGTCATTACATAGACCCGGCAATATGTAAAATGAAAGAGTAGTAAGATACAACATTGTCACTAGCTAACTTAGACAAAAACTCTATCAGACTAGCCTCACAAAGGGGCAAATTCAAACGCTTATAACCCAAATTGTGATAATAAATTGACACTATTTGTTTATGAAAAATTCTGTGCACGCCATTGCGAGGTAATATTAAAGTTTAAACCTAACTTACATAGAAAATCAATGACTAATTTGCCATCACACATTCGACCAGCTAAATCATGATTGATGGTGTGCTTTATTGGAAGCTGTCCGATCATTCCACGTATTATAACGTAGCCACCAGTATCAGAATTGGAGTCACCAAAATTGATAATTACTAGATTTCCATTACACTGTGAATCAACAGATAGAGGAAAGAAAAGACCAATAATAAGGGAAATTATAAAAGATAGAAGATAAAACATTCTCTCCTTCAAATCCATCATTTTGCTTCTTCATCTTTGATCAAACATCTTTTGTTTAAACTTTACTTATAATTTAGAATATATGGTAAGTGATAATTTATTTCAAAATATTTCAATATATGGAATTACTTGAATGATAGAGACGGAATCAGAAATTAAATATTTTTGAAAGAAAAAAATAGGTAGTTTGAGAAAACGAAATTTTATACCAGCTTGTTTTTTTTGGCCTTCAATTGAGCTATATTTTAGTTAGAAAAAAAAAATGAAGAAGCTATCTTTTAGGAAAAAAATTGTAAGAACTAGCTATGTTTAGGTTGATTTCTCTTGATAGTGGAAAAAGGAAGAACTATTTTGACCCCTTTAAAAAAAATATAAGAAGAATTTTATGACCAGTTATAGCATAAATGTGATGGATTAATTGGTAATTAGATAAACAAAAAAAGATTTATGTATACATAGGGGTCGTCTGTATTCTGTAACTGTTAAGACAGAAACCAACAGATTAGTAGAGTACCATTAATTAGCTTGTTAAATATTTGTTGAACCAAAATAAAACGGAAGATAATCGCACTATAATACCGTTAGAAAACCCAACAAATTTCATGTCATTTATTCATGAAATTAAACATAAATAATAAATGAAGAAACTGAAAAGAGAAGAAACAATTAAAACTGAAAATATATTCAATGCAAAATAACTCCAAAGCCCCAAAAAGATTTACAATAAAAAAAAATAGAAAGACAAGAATTCATTACCCTTCAAATAATAAACACATATTAAATTCTAGAAAGCTTCTATAAGGACTACTCGAACCTCAAGTACTACATAACTTATGAGGCGGGAATTGCCCAATACCATATAAGGAGACAAACAGTCCGCATCCCTACGGACATGAGAACTCTGAGTAGTGGACTTACCAGAGAGGTAGCAAGAATAAAAGTCATTTTATAACAAGGTGGGAAATCGAACCCTCACCAACAAGGTGAAAGTTTGAGTTGCTAATCAACTAAACTACTAAGACTACCCTAACAATTGTTTTTCACTAATCTTATGTATAATAACTTAATCCACCTACCCCCCCCCCCCCCCCCTCTTCATCTTTTTCAACCAACAAAAAAAAAAAATCAGCATAACAAAAGAAGGGGCTATTGGAATTACCAAGGGAGAATCACACGATTTAAAGACTTAACCACAAGCCTAAGGGGATATATACTCAAGTATTAACTTGAGGCAACAGAATATATAATATCCAGGAGACAAGAAGCATCATAGCAATATCGGTGGCGGAGCCAAGATTTTCATTAAGGGGAGTCAAAACATACAGAAATAAACTCACCAACAAGTCAAGGGGTATCAATATATATAGTATATATACATATCTTAAAAGAAATTACCCAGCTACACTATAATTTTCCGACAAAGGGGTGTCGCTTCCCTTGGGTGCATGTGGCTCCGCCACTGAGCAATATTACAACAACAAGAGACATTTACCTTCACAAAATGCATTAGTTCATTTTAGAAAAAACGTGTTTGAACTATTCAAGATGTCTGACACCCCACAAAAATCAAACATAATCCATGCAGCTTCGGAACAAGCTGATGAGTTATTGAAATTACAAAATGACTTGATGTCATCAGTTGAGGAGCGTAACAACTGCTCGGGAAGAAGCCCTAGGCAGACTTAGTAATATTTGGGCAACTTTTAGCAAGTAGTCTGGTGAATTTGTATCTACCCTTTTCGCTATGATTACAACATTCTCTAGTACCTTCCCGTTCTTCAAAATGAACTCCAGAAATGGAAACACGGAGGTTTTTGCCACAAACTGGGTAATCTTGACTGTCTTCAAATGGTGCAGCAAACATTTAACGTGCTTCGCTTGTGACGCTAAGTAGTTTGCGCCATTAGAATTGTAGAAATTTTTTGAATCTGCTAGCCCCGCGCCTTTTGGCTAGAAAAAATTTCCAAGATAAGGTTTGCTTACATTTAGATAGAAGCAGAAATGAATAATACAAATGATCTCCACAAGCCAGTACAGGATCAGATATAACGGATATTTTTGTTTATGTTTTTATTTTCTTTTGATAAGGAGGATCAGATCAATGGATGTATGTCAATGAAAGCATTTTCTACTTCTCTGGCAATGTAATGAATGCGGTGTTTAGTTTATTAACTGAAGCTAAATTTCCATAACCAGTTCATCGCGAAGATACTGTTGGAAATAGTAAACTTAAATGTTAACAGTATGAACAAGTGCTAGGTTTATTTGTATTTTGAGTTTTTCTAGCTGTTTAAGTCTAATATATATGTTCTGAAAGTTATAATTGAAGTGTGTGTCCTTTGAGTTGAGTTATCCTAGATGGTTCATGTAACTAGAAGTATAAAGTAGCTACACATATGTGAGTCTAGTGTGTTTTTTTTTAAATGTAAAATGGAACTTCTCCTAATGTTATTAGAGTGCTTATCTCCTTATTCGATTCTCTTTGAACCTTATAAAATTTTATCCTTTGAATTGTATTATTCTCTTCTTCCAATCACACAAAGTGTCAGCAAGAACGCAGTTTAAAATCCAGAATGCTTCTTGGAGTGATGAATCAGGTTTTAAGGGAGTGTTTGATGAATAAACTAGATTCATCCCAAGCATATAAATTTTCTTAGTTCATGTATTACGATATTAATGTAAGAATGCATGTATGATTCTTATGTATTTGGGAGAAAGAGGAAATATAGAATAAACTATGAACATGTTAGAAGAATACCTATAAAAACCTACATACTAAATTTTTTTGGTGTCTAAGTCGAGAGAAGAAATAGCACTATGCTTTCCTCCACTTGTCTTCAAGAGAATTAGTTTGACTGAAAGTGCTCTTTCTCCACAAATTTCTAGTAAATACTCTGGGCAGAATATGTCAGATAAGAAATAGAGATCAAGAAAGTTTAGGAAATATGTACCTCTTCATAGGGTACATATTGCATGTCTATTATTAGCATCTGCAGAGCTGGTGAACCTTTAAGCAGGTTAACTGTTCCAAAAAGATCATCTTCCTTCATATGTATACTTAATGTGACACATTTGTGAGTTGAAATCTGAGAAGGAATGCGTTTCTTCTCCCTTAGCGCTAGAACCTTGTATCGTCAAATTCACCGAATCCAGAGGGAAAAAGTAGATATTTCAGTACCCGCTAGGACAAGCGTGCCCGATCAGAATTTCATGAAAAACAAATTGTATAATGTGTAGTTATGGGGAAGTTGTAATATAAAAACACACTGCCAAGCCGTTAACTTCTTAAACCTAGTCACATACTAGATCATAATAAAACATGATAAACTTAAGATAAAGATGAAAGGAGGTGAGCAATGTGCTGAATCATACTTACTTTGAAATGATTTTTACTTCCTCTAAGATGTCTCCATCTTTAGGCATTCAATTACTGTGCTGAAAATTTGGTCATTTTAGATATCTGGAGAATTTTTGCCATTGGAGAGCTTAAGAGATTTCTTCTCAATAGATTCTGATCTAAGTAAACCTAGGAATTAGTTTTTTTTTTAGTTAGATTTTGTTTACAAATATTATGTGGCTGAAGAATTCAGGTGAGCCAGTAACAGTTCAATTTCCTTGTGAGCTTCGGAAATTGTACTTACAGTTGCATTTGGAAGGAATATTGTTTGTTTACAAAGAAAAATTAGAATAATACTTGTGTCTTGAAGTTATTAGCTTTTAGAAAGTAACCTAATGCTAAAAATTCGGAGGATTGTAAGGAAGATCTCTCTAATGTGCTTGTTTGAACATCAGGATTCGACCAATGTGCTTTGTGTATATAGAGGCATGCCGAGAAAGCAAAGCTAACCAGAGAAGAGAGGACTAAAGCTAGCAATTTTAACAATTACTTCACTCTGCTCCAAAGGTCAAGACACCTACCCCATAACGACACGCGCGCACACACACAAAAAAAACAAAGAAAAGAGAGAGACTCTTAAAGGTAGGCAAAGAGAAAGACCAGATACAGATAACTTGTTTCGAAAACTAACCTCAACGCACCAAGCACCCAAAGTTAAGTTCTCAACATGTTTAAGGCTCCTAACTAGCTCCATTAGGTTATCCTGCTGCCCTTTTAAGTTCTTCTTTTCACCATTAAAACCAGTGTGTGGACGAAGATTGAGGGTGGCATTAACAACGGACTGCACATTCATCAAAATACACTTCCTATAAAGAGATCCTGATAGGCGCAGGGTCTGAACATTGGGGGCTGAAATTTTCATGATGGGACCATATTCAAACTCAACTGACTCAGACTCACGTACAATCAGTGTTCTTAAAGAAGAAGAATCAATATTCAGATCATCATAGCCACAGCAAGAATCCAACTCAAGGAATTCCAGTTTTGGAGCACCCACCATAATCTTATGAACATCTTGATCCCCCAACACCGAGAACCGGAGGGTTAACTTTGCCAACAAGTTCCAACTTATTTGCACATCACGTATAAACTTGCAACTCCACAAATTCAATGTCTTGAATGAAGAATTGCGATACACACACCGAGGTGGGCACCAGTAGCAACAGTCTTGATTAAATTCTAAGAAGAGCTCTTCTATATTACTCTTTACAGCATACAGAATCCATCCCTCATAATCTTTAGGATAACTGGCATTTAAAAAGAGACCAATTTTAAGTCTTCTGATCTTAGAAGTGCCACGAGAAAGCAAGGTCCGATTCACAAAGTCCACATAATTCTGATAGGGATAGAAATCATCATAACTAAAATCAAGATTTGGGACAATTGACCACAGGTGTCGCCATCGTTTGGAGAGAATGGCTGTTCTGACAACATCTCTCATGTTCACGAATGAGAGGATGTGAACCAGTATCAGTTCAGGCAGCTCACTAAGTCGATCCATAGGGGAAAGGAATCAACTTCGAGGACAAGCTCACTGATTTGGCAATAATCCAGAACTCAGTTCCTGTTCACTGCATATAGTTATCTCAGTTGCTTCAGGAATAGGGTCAAAGGGTGACTTTATTCACTGAAGGATGAGATTTTTTCCCAGGATTGATAAAAGGAGAAAGTCATTAATCTTTATCAACAACCAACAACAACAACAACAACCACCCAATATAATCCCACTAGTAGGGTCTGGGGAGGGTAGTGTGTGCGCAGACCTTACCCCTACTCTAGGGTAGAGAGGCTGTTTCCGATAGACCCTCGGCTCCCTCCCTCCAAGAACTCCCCACCTTGAACTCACAACCTTTTGGTTGGAAGTGGAGGGTGCTCACCACTAGAGCAACCCACTCTTGTCAATCTTTATCATCAACCCAAAAAGGAAAATCAACGGTGATTACAGCATACTAGTAAGAGATAAATCCCATCATATTCAGCTAGAATCAAACAAATTTCGAGCTATGAACATAATCTTTTTATTTTTTAATGGTAAATTAGCTTTGAACATAATCTTAATACACCAAAGCTCAAAGACATCAAACTACAGTATAAGTTAGCAACATTCAAGAATCTGCAACTCCAAAAAGACAATATATCCTTCTCAAAAAAAAAAAAAGACAATATGAATGGATCAATATAAGCTAGCAGGCCTTTTTCTTAAGGCTTGAAATTCTTGAAAAAGCATATGAAAACCAAATCTAAAGCAGTGGAAATTTTGATGTTGAGGTCTTAAAGGCATGCAAGAAAAACCACTGCGCAATGATCTAAGCCCCTTTACATGAACAGAAAATCCAAATAAAAATACAACAAAAAAAATCAAAGATCAGAAGAAATACCATATAGCTACTGTAGTCATCAGAAGAATGACAAAACGAGGAAAGGGAAAAGAATCATTTATTTATTTATTTATTTCTTCTTTTTCTCCCAAGCGTGGAGAAGAATTGGAATAATGGCCAGCATGGAAATAAATTTTCTACGTATTTATATATTTTTTATAGATTAGTTGGTTGGGTTTGGTATAGTCTTTTGTTAAATTGTCAAAATTGGTCAATTTATTCAACTCTTTTATGTTCCATCTACCCCCAAGAAGAAGTGCATTATTAGGGCTCGTTTGGTACGAGGTATAAGAGATAATTAATTTTAATATTAAATTTAAGATGATCTAATTCTATATTTGGTTGGAATAAAATTATAGTATAACTAATTAAGGGTTAACTTGTTCCCAACAAAACAATCCTTTGCTATTTCAATAAACAAAGCGATAATTTCACATAAATACAACTCATACACCTGACTTGCAACATAATAGCCTAGATACCACTTTGCAAATCTATAGCCCAAAAATATAGGCTAATTCCCGAAAGACAGCTTATTTCACACAATCAACTACGGTTATTGCTCCCTCTTTATACAACCAGTTATTTTCATACACTATTATGTGTAATTGCTGAAGCAATGCAACGGGATAAAAGAAAAATAAAAACTTGGTAAATGAATTGTAGAATCCCTCCAACGCGTACAAATCTTTTTTATACAGCACATACACGGAAAAAAAGAGAGAAGGAAGTGTCAAACTTCCGTAGAGGCCTCTTACACACTAACAATGTATATACATCCTTATAAACTGAAAAGAAAATATAATTATACAACATTATACACAAATATACACATTTATACACAATTATACAATACTGTATAACTTGTATAAACATGTATAATAGTGTATAAGAGGTGTTTGTATATTCATATACACTATTATACAGTGTTTATACAAACTGCTACATAGTTATGATTTTTATCCAAGCCTCGAGTTGTAGTAGAAGGTATTGGATGATTCAACTCGTCTATAGGTTAGCAATTTTGCGCCAACGATTCGGAATTCAACGCACAAATACAATACACCCAATTTCAGATTCGAGACTTCAAGGAGGACAACACACATATCACGGGAATCAATAACTTGCGATGAGCCAAGATGGTCAACAAGCTTAAGAACAAGCAAGTCTGGAGCTTTCTGTTTCATCGTGTTGAAGATTGATTTAGCTTCCGATCTTTTCTCCTCGGAGCTCGACCAGACATTAGAAATTAAGGTTATTCTTCTGCTTGTCACCATAGACGACAGAGTAGGAGCCCGAGCCTTCTTCGAGCCATTGATGGCAGAACTGCGTAGGGGGGTAGGGGAGGGGGAATAGCGGTGGATAGGTTAAGAGATGATGAGGGATCTATGTGTGTTGGAAAGAAAGAAGCTAGAGGCGGTGAGAGACAATTTGGTGTGCTAGGAATGAAGAAAGAAGAAAATAATAAAAACCTTAAAAGTGTGTCTTTAATAATGGGTAAAGGCTGAAAAGTTTCTTTCAAGTTATGTACAATATGTGTTAAATAGGGTAAGAGCTTCAAATCTGGACGATTTTCGGTTGGGCTGCTATGCCAAGTGACAAGAGGTGTAATTCTTTCCTATAATTATGATTCTTCAAAATATAAGAATTGTGATTTAGAATTTATCTAATTCTTAAATATTAAAATAATAATAAACTGCAAGTGTGTCAACATTTGTGCTCTTAACCTTTTTATCGTTTGGGATGAATAGAATATAATTAAATATCACAAAAATATTCTGTAGCTTAATATAACATTTATTACATTTTTTCAAAAAATATTATTCAAACTCGTGAGTCGAGACACTATGTTTTGAATGGTAGATGGTGGAAAACTAGATAACCACAAAAAAGAAGAAGTAATTTCTTCATATTTTATAAAAAATAAGAAGATATTTTAATATTTACTTTTCAAGATTACAAATCAAATAGGCCTTATTAAAGTATATCGAAAAATAGAAAAGCCAAATTAGTTTTAAATCAAAAATCGTACGAAGACGAAAAAGTTGCTGAGAGAGAGAGAGAGTTTTAGAAGAAAAGCTGGTTTGACAGAACATTGACACTAAACATACAAAAAATATAAAAGGAAAAAAGAAGGCGACTTTATCATCCAAAATTTCAAGATTTTCTTAAAGAGAGGCTAAGAGGGAAGAATTTTCTTTTTGTATTTAATATTTAGGGAATTTTATTTGGGTTTCTTTTTATAGGAGAAAATCAGAAAGTAGTTAGTATTGTTGTTTGTAGGATGATGGTGTCGATGAGATACATAGTAGTATTGTGTTATGTATTTTCAGCTTTTGGATACGTATTTTCATCGTATAATACGAATACGTTTTTGTACGATCTGAGGTCTCAATGCCCTCTTCGGATCTCCTTTCCACCTCCTTTGCTTGTTGAGGTAATTTAATTTCTTTATCTCTTTTTTTTTTCTGGGGATTTTTTGTTTATTTGGTTTCAGTATATATCTGGTATTTTTGTATTGGGGTTTTGTTGATTAATTGAAATGGGTTGAATTTTTCAAAAATTTTGCTGTTTGGTTTTGCTAAAGATTTCATTTTTTTGAAGTGGTTTTCTTATTTTGGTGATTCTTAGGGGTTTGAAGTTGTTATAAGATTTGTGAGAATCTTTGCTGGGTTTTTTTCCCCTTGATTAATTGGGTTTATTTATCAATAGCCAATCATGGTCTTGTGACTTGTGATTAAGTAATTTTTCATTGAGTTGCTTCTGTTTTTGATGATTTTCATTATTTTTGCTTTAAAAGATTGGATTTTTAAAGTTAATTTGGGGTTTGAGATTATCTTATGATTCAATAGATAAGGTATTGGGGAAAATACTGCAGCTTATTTCTGCAGATTTTTCAAGTCACGGTAACGTGGAGATACTTGTATTTAGATGTGTTATCACCTTTTTGTTCAAGGGCAGTTTTATAAGTCCCTTGTTGCATCGTAGCTCATTTTAAGTACTTTCAATAGCTAATAATGGTTTAGTTTTGCTTACTCATGGAGTTGCAGCTGATTGTTTAGGAGATCTTTTGAAAAATATGAATTTTTGTAATGTTTAATTGCTGTAGACGTTGAAAAGATTACTTAAGTCACCGGTGATATGGAAATTCTATCATTAAGCATTGAACGTTCCTGTTTCAGGGTCCTCTTTGTAACTCCTTGTTGCAGCATAGCTGATCATTTGAGCGTAATTTAGATGTAAAAAACTAAAGATTTTCTTTGAATTAAGAAATTACAAAAGAACTATTGTTTTTTATTGATTATTGGAGAAACAGATCAAAGTAATCTGGAGTATTAAGCTGTATTGGTAGTCCCCCCAACTTGTTTGAGACTGAGGTGTACTGGTGTAGTTGTTATTGTTGTTGTTGATAGCCTCCCCATCCTTGCAGAGGCACCCATGAGTAGGATACTGTTTGATGGAATGACATTTACTTTGTTTTTGAAGATTTTCTGTTTGGAAATTGTATTTCATGTCTCGAGAGTAAACAGTGAAGTGTAAATAGTGCGTTTAGAGATATTGATTTTTGGATATTTTATCATGTGTATATGTAGTAGATAAAAAAGATGTGTAAGTGGTATCAACAGCCTCCCCTCCTCCCCTGGAGAAGCCTGTGAGTTGGAAAAGCATTATGTGATTAATTTTGTTCTGAAGCTGTGCCAAGCGTTTGCAAAGTGTATTCTATTGTTTCAAGAGTAGATAATGAAGTGTGCATAGAGAGGGAAACTTGGGTTCGAAGAGTGTTAGGTGGACGGGACAATTTTAGGCTCAGACTGCGGTTCATGTATTCGCCTTTAGGATGAGTGCTCATATGGACATCCGCTACTAATAATTATTTTCTTTTATCAGCAAACATCCGTTGATAATGATTTGACTGATTGTGAAACATTAATTGTGGCATTTTATCTTGGCTGCAATCAGAATGTGGCGTTATTTCCACTCTAGGTGAATATTATACTGTTTTTCAACAGTATTAGGGAAGGGGGAATCCACAAGAATAAGTTTCTATTTAACCTCCTCTGGCTCCAGCACTTCTCTTGTCCTAGTAAATCCTTACTTAGTATGCAGGTTAAAGCAAGGTACTTATATTACAACTTCCTACAAGCTAAAGATGGCAAGAGCTTGGTTTGAAGGGTGACAATAGCATGTATAAGAGCCGAAATAGAATTAGGAAAAGAACTGGCTTTCAGGTAAGTGAATGAATAAGTGGTCATCAAGTGGTTAATGAACGGAGTAGTTGGTCGTCAAGCTCTATTATGCTGAATGGATGTTTACCTAACTTGCGGTTGGGGCTTCAAATGGTTTTGTAATGTTGGGATCATCTTTGAAAAATAGATTATTCAACTGATAATGTGGGTTCTCTAGATGATGATGTATCAAATAAATGTCCATCAGTGTGCGATTGTTTGTGTCTCAGCAATATATATCACTTTGGTTCTGGGATTGCTCCTTTTTTTAGGGCTTGTTATGTGTTGAATGCAACAGGCTTATTCTCTCTTTGATGTGAAAGGTTTTTTATTCATAAGTTGTTTTCGAAATTTAGCTTTTACCTCCATAGCCGGTCTTTTGATTTCTCCTGGATACTTGTGAGGAATGTTTATTCTTTTCTTGCATTAATTCATCTCCAGCCTGAAGTGTGTGCAACCTTGTTATGCAGTTTGTGCTGAATGGATGGATCTCATTTAGATCTCCTTTTACAGTTTCCCAAAGTTTACATTTGTTATATTATCATTTTCTTTCCATTTGTTCCTTGGGGCAGGAGCTGGGTTGTGTTTTCTTTTCTTTTTCTTTTATGGTGTAGGAGAGGGAATTGTGGACCTAATTTCTCATAAATAACTTAATAATTCTTCACATAAACTACGTTCTTCTTTTTAACTATGGCATGCATCTTAATATAGTTATTTTTCTTTTTATCCTGATTTTTGTGCCTTTATTCAATCTCCTCACAAAAGACGGATGGAGAATCACTTGACAAGGCTCTAGGGTCCAGTCAGAAAGATGATGTTACTGCTATTTTGTTCTACGCCTCGTGGTGTCCTTTCTCAACAGATGTTAAATCAAAGTTTGGTGCTCTGAGTTCCATGTTCCCGC